AAAGACAAACAAAAACCAAAAATAAAAGTTACTTCTACACTTGACATACAGAACTAATGACTGACAAGCTCATGGTTATCTCTTTGTCCTGAGATGGACAAGACAATCTTTTCCTTTTGTGGATACAGTGAGTTACCAAGAGAGGCCACCTTAATCCCTAGCCATCAGTGCAACCCTAATCCTTCCCAGAAACTCATAATAGAAGAAAAAACAGACTTGTGGCAGCATACAACTTGTGGGCACTCAGCTCTGCCAGACACAAAATGAAATGCCAATTTTATTAGAGAAACTAGGTCTTCATTTGGAGTTTTTATTTATATTCCAAGAGTAACAATGCCATCATCCATGCAATACAAATGGAGTCTGGGCATGATGCCAATTAAAGTTTTCTTGAGCATTAACCTCATCTCTATAACAGTCTGAAACTGAGCACTCCTATCTCTATTACACAACACACTACACCTCTATGCATCTATTTCCTCATCTGTAACATGGGAATAATAATAGTACCTCCCATATAGGTTGATGTAAGGACTGAAGACCAGTTTCATGTAAAGCACTTAGCACAGTGCCTGCCACATAAATATTCAATGTATTAGCTGCTATTATTATCTAGATACAAGTAGGATAATGGCATCTTCTCCTTTACCATACAGCTAGCCCAGTTTATAGCTTTAATCTCCCAACATGAGGATTTTAATATTTTAATACTCAAGCAAAAGGTCACTTCTGCCTCCCTGCTCTCTCTGAGGTCAAATAAGAAAAAGGGAGTAATTCTTTTTTAAATTCATTTATTCATTTTGGAGAGAGAGAAAGAGCACATAGGCATAAGGGGGAGGACCAAAGGGAGAGGGAACAAGGGAATCTCAAACAGACTACCTGCTGAGCATGGAGCCTGAGGCAGGGCTTGTACCCAGGACCATGAGATCACAACAGGAGCCAGAGCTGAAATCAAGAGTCCCATGCTTAACCGACTGAGACACCCAGGAACAAAAAGGAGTAATTTGGGGCTAGAAAAGTAGGGTGGCCCAGGGTTAAGTGGGTTGGGAGAAGAGGGAGTCTGGGTAGCAGATGATTTGCTCTGATTATGCCACCTTTCTATATCATGACAGAAAACCCAGGGCAGATGACACGACCTGCAGAGGAAAGGACCCAGAAAAAGGTAAGGCTGTATACTACAAAGGATGTTATAATCTTCAACAGAGAAAGAACCCAAAGAAGGAGTCAATAAAGGAGAGGTTTGAAGATTATATTTCCTGATTTGCCCAACAGGGAGCATCATAATCTTAAGTTAACACGTAGGTAGAACATTTTTCTAGTTACAAAAAGTTTTCACACATGTCTTTTTATTTAGTCCTCATAACCATCCTGTGAAGTGAACAGAGAAAATGTCATTATCCCCATTTAATACAGGAAGAAAGGAAGACTTAGAGAAGTAAAATAATTTGTCCAAAGCCATCAGCTGGTAGCTGGGAGCACCAGCATTCTAATTCAAGTGTTCTGGGTTCAAAACCCCCCACCTTTTTTTTCAATTAAAACATACTGGAATTCTATGTGGACTTCAATTAGCCTGGGTCCGTTCGTTATGATTGAAAGAAAAAAAAAAATCAGCAGAGACTAGTTATTTGAACTCTTCCTGATCCTCAGTCTCAGATGGCAGAAAGAAAGCTGACAGGAAGTATATGGATTTGGAATAAAAAGAGCCTAGCGATGTGGAGGGAAGAAGTAGGATCTAAAAAGAAAAGTAGAAGCGGTTCTAACTGGGAAATGCTGTAAACAGGCGCCAACTGGTCTGGTGGTGCCACCTTTTGGATTTTTCCTCCTGGCTGAGCAGGGCCAGGTCTACTGTGCTACACCTCCTTCCTTCGCACATAGCCCAGCTTGTGCTGGAGAAATGCAGTATCCCCCATACCTAAAACCGCACTGAATCAGGGGCAGTGGTGGTGGTCTGAGCAGCCATCGTGGCAGGTTAGGGGCAGAGGGAGTCAAGAGGAGGGCAGGAAAATGCAGGATATAGGAAGTAACTCTAGGATGCGATAGCTTGTGGGGTATTTGAGAAAGGTGGTTATAAGAGTGGCCAGTGTGCATTAAGAGGCTGGAGTAAGGGGGTGTGTGAGGTGACTGCTGGGGTGCCAGAAGGAACTGGAGTCTGAGGGACAGGGAAGGGAGGGACCTGGCAGGCACGCACCCCGCATCGCGTGAGGGGACAGTTGGCGCAGACTCTCCAACACGCGGCAGCCGGAAGGCGGCCCTGAGAAAAGTACAATTTGGTTGAAAGGGGGTGTGAATCATGGAGAATGCGGATCCCAGCGTGGGAAGAGGGTGTCAAAGAGCTCCCAGAAAAGGTTTGAGAGGGTGTGCCTGGGCTCTCCATTGGACACCTGAAGAGAGCTTGAAGACACCTGGACAGCCTCTCCTAACTCTCCTCCTTACCTTGGGCACCATGACATGGTCCATGTTCCCTCCACCTGAAGTCCTCAGTATTACTTGGGTTGTCACCGCATCCACTACTCCCACTGCCTCCAGGCTCCAGCTTCTACTTGCTCACCTCTGCCACCCCCACTGCCCTCTCTTCCCCAGCACAAACTCTCATCACGTGACCCTCCGGGCGGTTTCTATTGTGATACTTTGTCTGTGGCCTCTCCCACCATCTTGCTTCTCGGCAAATGCCCTTTGTGATGGGAAGCTGATGGTTTTCTGGTTTGGGCTACAGGTTTGGCCCGGGAGATAAGTCCCAGACTCCAGTACTGTCTCCCTTCTCACACACTTTAATGCTGTAAGTGTTCTAGGCACCTATATAATTCCACTAATATCTAATGTTAACAGTGATGGCACCCTACCTAGATAGGATGGACAATCCCATTCTGCCAAGGGGCTTCTGAAAAGCTTCCTAGCTGTGAGAACTTGGACAAGTCACAGTAGAATACTTTCTGAAAAGCATATCCTCTTCTTATTCCCTTCTTTTACTAGTCTATTATCATTAGCCTAGTTAAGTCCTGGACAGTTGCAGTAACCTCATAATTTTTGTCATCACAGATGAAGGGCCGACCAGACCACCTCTCAAATGAGGTGTGGACAGATGCAGCCATTCAGTGGTATTCTCTGAATCAGACTTGTGATGGAAAAAATAACATCTGGGTGTTGGAAAACCTGATATATTATAAATGTCATTTATTTGTTGTCAAATTGTGAGGCAGGAACTTTTGTTCACTGCTAGATCTCCAAAGTCTAGAAAAGACAGTAGATACTTAATAAATACTTGTTGCACAAATAAATTTTCAAAGCTACCCAAGATTTTATCCACCATTAACTTTATCCATTTCCCCTAACATTTCCTTCTTAAAGCAAGTTGATGTCATTTCAGAGGAAATTAAGGGACAGGCAGTGGCTTGCCAAAGGTTTCAGAAGAATCAGAAGTCAAATTGGACCCCCACTTGAGTAAAGAAAGCCTGGCGTTAAAAGGGGAAATATGGGGGACGCCTGGGTGGCTCAGTTGGTTAAGCAGCTGCCTTCGGCTCAGGTCATGATCCCAGCGTCCTGGGATCGAGTCCCACATCGGGCTCCTTGCTCATCAGGGAGCCTGCTTCTCCCTCTGCCTCTGCCTGCCATTCTGTCTGCCTGTGCTTGCTCTCCCTCTCTCTCTCTCTCTGACAAATAAATAAATAAAATATTTAAAAAAAAAGGGGAAATATGGGGGGAAAGTATGGGCCTCACATTATTCGTTTGTCTCCCCCGTTATGATGTCACTTCCATGAGGTTTTTCTCTGTTTGCTACTGTGTCCCAGTGCTTAGAAAAGTACTTGGTGTAAAGGCCTGGTTAGCCAGAGGGAGTCATTTTGTGTTTATGCAGTGAACTTAGATTGACCCCACCCCTCCCAGCGGAACTTACTTGCAAAGCCTAGATACAAGGGTGGGTCAGGCCAGGTGAAGACATCCAATTAGTGGGGCATAAATTGAAATTCAATTGAAATTCAATTGGCCACCAGAGTGTTACCTAGCAGTTTTTTCTGTGTGTGTCAGACCTAGCATGACTGTGCAGTTTTCTCTGTATTGCAATCTCATTAGCCACCTGTGTCTAGCCCGGCTAAACTACCTCTATAAAAGTTAGTCTGTGAGGCTGGGAGGGGTCGTCTCTTTGCAAGAGATGGCCCTGACCAGTCAGTTTGATTCTCGATGCTTGGCACAAAATAAAGCTTTGCTTGACCTTCGCTTTGTATTAGTCTCGCTCCTTTGATTATGGACCCTAACACTTGGCACATAATGAATGCTTGATAAATACTTGCTGAATGGCTAGATAAGAATGAATAACTCTAGACTCACAACTGGTGTGGGCCAGAAGATAAACTAGAGGGAAGGAATCTGGAGGCAGGGAAACCATGAAGAAGGTATTGTCGTTTTCCCAAAAAGATCTGTGAACTTCTGAGTCTGTGGGTTTTTTGACTTTGTACCTAGAGCTCAGGCCTCAGCAAGATTAGCCAACATCTGAAATGCTAGTTGCTGCAGCAAATCTATACTGTTTTATAATCAAACTTCCAACTATATTGCCCACTTATATATTGCCCTATATTGCCCACCTATATTCTACTTTGAGGGCTTTTCCACTGATGGGGGTTGGTGTTCTTCCTATAGTATCCTAGGGAAGTAGGTATACTTTGCTCCACTGTCTATCTCAATAGCTAGAGGTACAGCCTCAGAAAGCTGCTACCAAAAGTCACCCATGATGTGGTGGATGATGACTAAAAAGTCACAGAGCCTTTGTGACCTCACTCATGCTCAAGAGGTAGCTTGATAAATCATAGCAGAGGACAGCTGGGCCTTACAAGCCACCAAGACCTCCTCCACTTTGCTTCTGGGGAGTGACCATCAGAAACAGACTGTATTTTTAGGCTATTTCAGTCTCAGCTTATCAGTCATCTTAAGTCAACTGCTAAAAAACTTCTTTGCAGACCAAATTACTAGAAAGCACACTATTCATCATTTAGAGACAACTTACTTGAATCATGCAGTGCATAGGGGATATCAGCGAAGATGTCTGGCAAGACTGCATTACCCTCTTCCTACAGACTGGGATGTGCTGTGATGCAGCAATTATCACCAATTCTCCACCCTGGTTGTTAGCTTCTTACCCCGAAGGCAACTTGTTCCAACTGACCCAGGAAGAAATTCAGATCTTGCTGGCGAGAGAGGGGAGAGAGAAGTTGTTTCTTCAGGGAATCACCCTTGCAGGGACCAAATGCTTGTTGATTCGGGACAACCTTTACACTGAGGGCAACAACACCATGGACCTCCGCACCAAAGGCCAGAGTCGGGGCAGCCAGGCAGTGACTGTAGTTCAGATTGAGTCTGTATACCTTGTGGTGATGGGACAAAAAGGAACAGAAGGAGGGCCTCTCAACCTTAAGGCTTTTGAAATGGCAGGTTACATCAGAGAGGCCATTCATCAACACATGGCCCATTTCTAATTAAATAAAAAGGAATTGGTGTTTGACCTGGAATTTGAATTCAGTGTTATCTGTATTACCTGCTAAGTTAACCTGGTCTTGAAAAAAACAGGAAGAGATCCCATATAAGGTTTGAGGATGTGTGTGTGTATATGTGATGGTGTGGTGTGTGTGTGTGTGTGTGTGTTGGGAGGGGGACAGATTGAGAAGTAACTGTTAAGGCTTCTGGGCCTTTTTTGTACCTAGAACACCATCCTTCCTTAGTACCTGAAGGAGAGAGTAGTAGATTGGGAACTAAGAAATCTTGGTTTTAATCCCAACTTTTTCCTTACTCATTATGAGACTTTTCTCTCTGGGTCTCAATTTCCTTATCTACATAATGGGGAGTACACTATGTCTCTAAGGGCCATTTAACCTCTGGAAATCTAGGATTTTGTAACAGCACACAGATCCTCCAAACCCCAGCTTAAGTACTACCTCCGTGAGGAAGCTTTCTCTACTTTTCTTGACCCTTGGGGTTGACACTGATTTAAATTCCTAAAGCATTAACTCACTGGGTCATTTATTTGGCCCTTAATCACACTCTGCCCAACATTTCTTGGATGACTATTTTGTGTTCTTATTTAACTTTCCACACATATAAATTTTGTTTCCCAACTTCATTATAATCACCTTAAAGGGCAGATGATGTGTCTTCTACTTTTCTATATTTGGATAACTCAGCACAGAGCTCTGACAGGGGAATTGGCTGCATCACTAAAATTACTTACCAGGAAGAGAGAGACTTTCCAAAGTAGAGAGTCTACTGGGTATAGGTGAAGGTGACTATATTTTCCTTTTTGAATTTGTAGCTCACCTTTGGATCATTTAAACTGTTTATTGTTCTCACTGCCAGGATGGGCATGAAACTAAGAAAAGAGGTGAAAATTTCTAACCATTCAGTCTGTTTTTTTTTAAAGATTTTATTTATTTGACAGAGATTACAAGTAGTCAGAGAGGCAGGCAGAGAGAGAGAGGAAGAAGCAGGCTCCCTGCCGAGCAGAGAGCCCGATGCGGGGCTCAATCCCAGGACCCTGAGATCATGACCTGAGCTGAAGGCAGAGGTTTTAACCCACTGAGCCACCCAGGCGCCCCTCAGTCTGGTTTTTTGATAGCAGCTCTGAGGACTATGGGGCGAGAGAAGGCAGAATGAGAAAGATGAGGTCGAGTAATAAACCATAGCACTTACTTGACCTGGCACTTATTTGGTCCTACTGTCACCAATCCCTCAGGAGCAGTGATTAGAGAGAATCAATCATCTTCTGTGTTAATTACATGGACCCACCTATACAACATCCCCAACACATAACCTCACAAGCTTGTAAATATCAAAGTTTAAACATGGAGGTTGTCAAAATATCTAGGGCAGTTCTACTCAATGCAAATATAATTCTAGTCACATATGAAATTTAAGATTTTCTTTTTTTAAATTTTTATTTATTTTTTCAATTTCTTTTCAGTGTTCCAGAATTCATTGTTTATGCACCACACCCAGTGCTCCATGCATTACATGCCCTCCATAATACCCACCACCAAGCTCATCCAACCTCCTACCCCCGTCCCCTCCAAAACCCTCAGTTAGTTCCTCAGAGTCCACAGTCTCTCATGCTTCATCTCCCCCTCCAATTTCCTCCAACTGCCCTCTCCTTTCCATCTCCCCATGTCCTCCATGCTATTCCTTATGCTCCACAAATAAGTGAAACCATATGAAAATTGACTCTCTCTGCTTGACTTATTTTACTCAGCATAATCTCTTCCAGTCCTATCCATGTTGCTACAAAAGTTGCATATTCATCTTTTCTGATGGAGACATAATACTCCATAGTATATATGGACCATATCTTCTTTATCCATTCATCCGTTGGAGGGCAACTTGGTTCTTTCCACAGTTTGGTGACTGTGGCCATTGCTGCTATGAACATTGGGGTACAGATGGTCCTTCTTTTCAATACATCTGTATCTTTGGGGTAAATAACCCAGTACTGCAATTGCAGGGTCATACAGAAGCTCTATTTTTACCTTCTTAAGGAATCTCCACACTGTTCTCCAAAGTGGCTGCACCAACTTGCATTCCCACCAACAGTGTAAGAGGGTTCCCTTTTCTCCACATTCTCTCCAACACAAGTTGTTTACTGTCTTGTTAATTTTGGCCATTCTAACTGGTGTAAGGTGGTATCTCAATGTGGTTTTGATTTGAATCTCCCTGATGGCTAGTGATGATGAACATTTTTTCGTGTGTCTGTTAGCCATTTGTATGTCTTCTTTGGAGAAGTGTCCATGTCTTCCGCCCTTTTTTTGACATGATTATCTGTTTTGTGTGTGTTGAGTTTGAATAGTTCTTAATAGATCTTGGATATCAGCCCTTTGTCTGTAGTGTCATTTGCAAATAGCTTCTCCTATTCCGAGGGTTGCCTCTTTGTTTTGTTGACTGTTTCCTCTGCTGTGCAGAACCTTTTGATCTTGATGATTAAAGAAGAAGTAAGACGGGTGAACTTAATTTTAAGAATATAATTTATTAAACCCAGTACATTAAAATATTGCTATTTAAACATATACTCAATGAAAATATTGCTGATGAGATATTTTACATGTTTCTATGTCAAGGTTGCAAAATCTTTTGAAAATTTTGCATTTGTATTGTAAATATATCTCAATTCAGAAAAGCTTCAAATGTTCCATAGCCATGTGTATCTAATATCTGGGTAGCATGGGTTTTGGCCAACCACATCTAATGTTTGAAACCCCTCTACAACATATCTGGCAGGTCACCCAACCGTTCATCCAATACATTCCATGCTAGTCATTAGCTAGGTAATTAAATGTCAAAAAAAGAGAGGAAAAAGAGGTTTCTTAGATAAGATTTTAGTGGGCACAAGATAAGTGAAAAGATAAATTATAGTAACATGAAGTGAATGTTATGAAGTACTTTGCTTATTCAAACATGTATTGCACTCCCACTATGTGTCAGGCACAGTTTTAGATATATTGGTAGACAAAATACACAAAACTTTATGTTCATGGAGCTTATATTCTAATGGGAGAAACATAATGTGTATCAGGAGATGATTAATGTTACAGAGACAAACAAAGCAGTATAAAGGGATATAAAGAATGATGAGAGAAACTATTGAACAATGAGGTCAGAGGCAGCCTCTCTGGAAAGAAGATATCCATGCAGAGGCCTAATGAAGTAAAGGAGTAAGCTATGTCAGAAACTGGGGGATGCATTTCAGGCAGAGAAGAGCCCTTTAATAGCCCTGAAGAAAGAATGTGCCTGGTCTGTTGAGGAACTATCAGGAGGAAATGCAATTGAAGCCTCTCAGGACAATCGCCCTTTCCTTCTCCATCTGCAGCATTCTTTTTTTTTTTTTTTAAAGATTTCATTTATTTATTTGACAGACAGAGATCACAAGTAGGCAGAGAGGCAGGCAGAGAGAGAGGAGGAAGCAGGCTCCCTGACGAGCAGAGAGCCCGATGGAGGGCTCGATCCCAGGACCCCGGGATCATGACCTGAGCCAAAGGCAGAGGCTTTAACCCACTGAGCCACCCAGGCGCCCCCATCTGCAGCATTCTTAAGCAGGATGCTGAGGCAGCAGAAGCTGACTCCCAGGGTGGAAGAGTAAAGCAGAGCAAAAGCCTTCATCACCCTCCTTATGGGCCCTCTCTTTCTAATGAAATTGCTTTAACTTTTTTGACAGCCACATCACACTGCTGACTCACATTGAGTGTGTAGTTAACAACCTCTTAATGCCTTTTCATACTGCCTGCTGTTTTTAAAAAAAGAGCTTCAAATAATGGCAAGGCAATAAACCAAGGAAAAATTAAATATGGGTTGCAGAACCTCAGTGTGACAGGATTTGTATCTCAGAAGGGAAAAAAGGGAAGTGAGATGAAGGGTGAAGAAGGTGAATCCTGAAGATAGTTGAGCTTCCTACCTCATTCTTTGCAGCCTGGATTTCTCAACCGAAGAGGTGTGTTCAGGAAATTGAGCCACTGAGGAAAAATGACCTTGCCAGGTAGAGGGGCCCAGACAAATCCTTCATTGGAGGAGAAGCTAAAGTACCCATGTGCATCACTGAAAAAGAAGTTTAATTAAGTCTATAGCTAACTGAGGCTCAGTGTGCTAAACTGGGAAGGGGAAAAGAGTCCAGGTAGTTAGCCACCCAGCAACCATCCTGACCTTTCCAGCCAGAGAAAAACACTTCACTATTGGATAAGACCATAGCCTTAGCCTTTTGTTATGGTAGTCTTTCCTTGGAGACTGAATGTGCCTTGCATAAATAAGTTTGAACTGAATGTGAGAGAAACTCATTCTAGCTGTCCTATTTTCAGAAGACATTAAGGGAGGCCATTATGGGAGGGCTCAAGGTTAAAACAGGGAAACTTAAGCCTTGTGGGGAGGACCCATCTCCTTTTTCCATCCAAACTGTGTGCTCCTCCCTTGTCTTTTGGGTGCTCACAGTGGAAATCAGGAGCTAGCCTTAATATATATTCTGCTGCATTGGTGCCCACTTTTCCTCTCTTGCACCCCACAGTCCAACCACACTAAACAACTCAAACTTTTCAGGACATTCTTCACAACTTCCCCCATAGTGTTTTCAGAAATTACCACCACTTGCCCTCACCCTCTCATTCCTTAACAATCTCAAACTCATGTCATACTCATTTTTCTAGGCCCAGGCACAAGGCCCTTTCCTATAAGGGTATTGCTTATCCCTGAAACTTGGAGATATTTCCTCATGCCTTGGAAACCTCCATCTTGTTCTTTGCACCTCTCATGACACTTAATCCTTTTTTAAAATTTTATTTTATTTTTTCAGTGTTCCAAGATTCATTGTTGATGCACCACACCCACTGCTCCATGCAATACGTGCCCTCACTAATAGCCACCAACAAACTCACCCATCCTCCATCCCTCTCCCTTCCAAAACCGTTTGTTTCTGAGTCCATAGTCTCCCATGCTTCGTCTCCTGCTCTGATTT